TATGGGTGTCTGGTGCTGGGTGGTTTCCACTTTTGTTTCTGGTCGATCTTCAGTGGGTGGATTTTCCGTTTTGTGTGGCGTCCATGCTGGTGCGGAGGTACTTGGTCGTTGTGCGTTATTCGTAGATTGTGCTTCGTCGGATTCGCTCAACATACCGTGCATAGGTTGGGCATCGGATGTCGTATGCTGGATGGTTGCAGGGCATTGTACTATGTGTTCGGAAATTTGTATCTGCGCAGTTGATACAGGTGGGCTGGCATGCGTGGCAGTCCTTGATGCTGTGGTTTCCCGAACAGAAGGCGCAGTAGATTTTATTCGTGCAGCCTTGTTGAGTATGACCGAACTCTTGGGCATCGGAAACATCTCTTGGTATTGAAGTGTTCCGCGATGCGGTGTCTTTGCCAACCAATGAACAATTTGGGCCGTTGGAGGAGACTTCGGTAAGCTGCTGGCTGGCACTCCACGATCCATTTAACAGTATTTTCTCTGTCTTTGAGACGGTAGAGGATCTTTGCTGATGCTTTGGATAGATGGAACTCGGAGCTGAGCGCTTTTTTTTTCCAATTCTTCTGGCTGGACATCAGGTGACACACTGTGTATGGCCACTCTCGGTAATCTGGTCTGTGGTTGTCTGGTCTTGACCAGATCTTGCCCCTGTTTACTCTGTAGGGTGTTGACTAATTTCGTTGCGTCCTCTTTGGTTACGCAGTCTCTACCGCTAATCCTCCCTTCTTCCGGATGGTGCTAATTTTGACTCCCAGCTTTTGTAGTGGAAATTTCTCGTTGAGGACTGTTTTCAGGTCTTTGCTAGAGGTTGCTGTGTATTCTCTGTTGGATAAATGAGAATAGTATGCTTCAGCTTCGGGGGCGGCAACTTGTGCGTAAGATTTAACGCGTGTGCTGTTGGAAGCTGCCGTCTGTATGGTGATCGGTGCTGTGAGAACTTCTTCCTCAGTGTTCACACCTATTTCAGTAGTAGGGCCGAGGGTTATCGCTGTCTGGACCCTGTAGGGCCAGCTCTCTGAGTGCTTCTATTATAAATCTTATTTGGTCTCGTCGTAAGTCAGCTGGAAGTACTGCTCGTTTGCCGCACTTTGTTTTGCTGATGCGCAGAGCCTCGTCTGTGCAAATGAATGAATCTTCTCCGAGTAGCTTAGAGTGTCTCTCTGGGCTGGATTTGTAAGGTCGAGGTCCCTTGCTAAAATGGAGTTGTCACTTTCTTGCATATTTCATCAATTGCTTAGTTGCAGGAGAAAGTAAATTATAATCACTTTGTCGCTGAGAACACTATTGTGAACACTTGAGCTATGTGTGCTAAACACAGATTGGGTAGAATACACTGTTGCAAATACTTATACACTTGAACACAGAGCACTTTTATAAACACTTGGGATGTGTGCTAAACACTGATTGCCCGGAACACTTTTGCTAACACTTGCACAGTATATTATCACAGTATGACATTTGTACACTTTAACACTTCGGCACTAAATTAGTGTTGCATTATGCACTACACATTATTCTTGGTGATCGTGCACATAGTTACACTATTTAAGCAATTATTACACAGTTACAACTATTAAAGCAATTAAATTACACTATTTAAGCAATTAATTACAATATTTAAGCAATTACATACAATTTGTACTACACTAATCACTAAGGTTACTGTGGTGCAGATAAAGTTTTGATTACTTGAACACTGAATTAATGTGGCACTCTATACTTAATATATTATTGTCATTCGCTACCTTGTATATTGCACAAAAGTGAAAACACTGTTGAGCACAGTAGATATGCGAACCAAGGTGCAGTGAAGATAAATGTTAATTAAGTGGTACCGATAATCACAAATAATTAATTACTTTGAATTACTAAAGTTAGATCATTACTTTCACAAATGCCAGTTAATACATTGTGATTGATAACGTTATCAGAGTGCAAGAAAAATACAGCAATTATACTTGAGTACAGATAATAGGAGAACTGAGATACATAGCAAATTGGAGTAAATTTGGTAGAAATTGGTAGAAACCGATAAGTACAGATAATTAATTAATTTATTTAAGCGAAAACCTAATAGTCCGATTTCTCTAGAGAGGGTTTTTTTTTTTTTTTTTTTTTTTTTTTTTTTTTCTTTTTTTAAAGTCTGTATACTATTCGTCACTTAAGGATGACCAGTAAATTTAATGTAGTTAAAATAGCAGATATTTGCGGTAATTGGGAGACGAGATAATTAATTATTGCTGCTAATTAAAAAATTAAAGAACAAAAGGCCTACCTTGGCCGTTATGTTTCTTCTGTTTTTTCATCTGTTGCTTGCACTGCAGGTAATCCAATGTAATCCGATTGAGAGAAAAAACAGAAATTATAGGTAAACACACTCACACTGCACTGTATAATATCGCAAAAATTGAAGAATTTTTCTTAAGTCCCGAAAATTGCTGAAGAAATTAGTAAAATTCAGAAGTTATTGACGGATTTTTCTCCAAATTTTTGAAACTTCCACTTCCTGGGGCTTGAGTTGAAGAATGCCGTTTATTCCAGAATGCTACGCCAATTAGGGGCTTAATTAGCAGGCTGATTAGTATTACTCCAGTACCTCTTGTTTACCTTTGTAGACTGGTTTCAATTCGAGGACGACGGGGGGTAGATGACATCCGGTTGACCGTCGGAGTGGGGGAAAAGGTCAGAGTTCACCAAATTAAAAAAACGTGGTAAATCATATAAAAATTAATTTCGCGACTTCTAATTATCTCACTGCTATGAAATTACCCTCAAAATACTCGTGAAGATGTGGAGCGTCTAGCAGTATGAAAATCCAGGCTCATCGATGAAAGGTGACTGCTGGGCGGGCGTTCAAATACGCGTTGTAAGGCTTACTTGGGTATTCGAAGCGTAGATGAAGCAATTAATCTGTAATTAATTAAACGGTGGACCAATCTTGAAAATTTTGCATCGATGTGCTCCTTAAGATGTTGGCTATCCACTGCAGGTCTACTTGCAAGTCTACTTGCAGAGTTAGAGAGAATCAGAGTTTCTGATTTGCGCGCGTCTGCCTTTTGGCTACTCTCTCTCTCTCAGGCCCTGCGACAAGCTGACCACTTGCCCAGAACATATGCTGATGCACTCCGGCGCCCAAGGTCAAGAAGCAGATTTCGGGGCAGTGGAGGCCATGGCCCACTAGGGCTAGGGCTGTTGCGCCACGGAGTATAGTTTAGTTTGGCCCTGCGCCACTACAAGGGTCGGAAGCGGTAGTCATTTTATTATGGAAGCACTTAATAGGCGGCCAACATTGCTCCCTATGAAGGAACAGATAATTACAACCATGCCGTCTCCGGGATTCTAACCCGCGCCAATCGCTACAGCAGTCAGAGTCACTAACCGTTCTGAATAATTTTTAGTATTTAATGTTTGTTACAATTGGGAATTGGTTCCTGTTTTTCTGTAGATATTTTTAATTATTTGAAGAAATTGGGCACTATTGTAGCCATTTTACAAGAATGATTAGCTATATTTGAATATGTGCTCTATATTGTAGGAATACCTGTCAATTTGTATAGATTGAAATTGTTTAATTGTGCCATTTATAACTGTATAGTAGAAATTTATTATTTTAACTGTAATGAAAAATTAGTTGCAGTTTTTTTTTTAAACACGTACATTTGTAGTATGATTGATTGGTAAATATTCTAACTGTAATGAAAAATTATTTGCAGCATTTGAAACATGTGTATTTTTATGGTATGATGATTGGTAAATAATATGTACTGAATAATTATGTATTTTAAGTCTATTTTAATTGGGAATTAGTTCCTGTTTTCCATTAGGCGTTTTACTTTATAATATGTGCTTTATATTGTCAGAATAATACCAGTCAATTTGTATTGACTGGAATTGTTTAACAAATCTGTAGTTTTGCACAATTTAGAATTGTACTGAAAAAATTTAAGAATTAGTTTTCTTTCCTTCTTCTTCTTCTTCTTCTTTTTTCTTTTTTTTTTTTTTTTTTTTTTTTCTATCATCTGGGAGCCAAGTTATTATTTACAAAACATTTGCTTCTGTGGATAATAGTAAAATAGTGTACATATTACAATGAACTTCCCAACTGCAATTTCGTGATTGCTTTGTGGATAACTGCGACACAGTGTGCAATTTGCTATGGACACACATAATGAGGAGTGCAAACTGTTAACGACACGACGCTATGATGTATCGAAGTGGACGAGTAGTATTTACGTGAACAATGAACTTAACAAAAGTGTACTTCGAATTTATCAGTTTATAATTTGTAAGTTAACTTAAAATTCAGTTTATATGAACATAGAATAGTCTACACAACATCATATACTTTGGGCTATGGAACTATCAACTGCCTGAACTGATGTGACTGGCCTACTCTTGTGGATAACTGCAAAAATAATACGGACACACATCATTGGGTGTATAACTGATAAGAACATGAAGTTATGACGTATTGAAGAAGACATGGGTTTAAAAACTGGTTAATATATGAGTTCCACTCTCCACAACATAGATCCTATCCATAACAATGTAATTATTAATTGATTGTATATTTATTTTTCATACGGATTATTATGTAACAATTGTTGTATAGATGACATTGTCAATTTAGCATTGTAATATTACTATCATTGATTTAGTGAATGCGTCCGGATGGTAGATTCTTTTCCGTGGCCATGGACATAACTCTGATTGGTGTAGAACCTTAGGTCGGATGTTCATGCGACGGCGTTTCGGTCACTAACCGTAATACCAGCATAGCGGCAAAGTGGGAAATATTTAAGGCACTTTTAGAAAATAAAAAATTCGACGTGATAAAAAACAAAGAATAAGAAAAATCGTTAATAAAACACAATTTCTTATTATGCTTTTCTTTTTTCGTTTTCGTATGTTAAATATCATCAGTTTTACTGTTTATAATTTTTAAAAGTCTCTAACCTAAAATTAGTTTCACAAACTTATATTTTTCCTTTTAGGAGATTCTGACTGCGAAAATGATGCGAGTTCGACCAGTGGTAGCCAAGGTAAAAGAAGAAGGACGAGAACCAATTTCAATGGCTGGCAGTTGGAGGAACTGGAGAAAGCATTCGAAGCCTCTCACTATCCTGACGTCTTCATGAGGGAAGCATTAGCGATGAGGCTGGACCTCGTCGAGTCCAGAGTTCAAGTAAGCTCCCAAGTTTTGTTTTTTCCTTTGAAACTGTACAATGTGTTTCTTCCCGAAGTTTTCCTGGTGTCTCTCCAATACTTCTGAGATAACTGCAGGAATTCAGAAAATCGATTTGTTTGCTTATATATTTAAAAAAAAAAAAAAAAAAAAAAAAAAAAAAAACAAAAAAAAACATTTTCTTAGAAATAAAATAAGCTAATTCACGCTGTTCCTCTGTCACAACTAAAATAAGTCCTTTTGTAAAAACAAAAATAGCCATACTAATAGTATCAAGTGCAGTATTAATTGCGTATTAACATTTATAGAAAGGGTACTTATTTTACGCAGTTATACTTCTTAATTGCAGGATACCTAATACGTATTTTACCTAAGCTATACTTCTTAATTGCATCTACAATGAAATCGAATTATACCAGGAAATTGGCTTGTAATTTCTTCCTCCTTATTGCTCAACGTATTAATAAAGTTTTCAACCTTCATCTGGTCATTGCATTATCAATAGCAGTTTTTCTTTCGTTGGATTGGGCATCACGTTTAATGTTTATGTGTATAGATATAGGTGTTTCGTTCATAAAGAGCTTTGAATGTAAATTGCTAATTGACCAAATACACAGAATTCCTTTTTCCTTCCTTGTGAAGGACAACATTTTGCTACACAGTAGCCATTTTCTTTTTTTTCCTCCTTAGTATCTTTTGACACAGATTACGTATTGCAATAATAGTCTTTCTTCAAGAATTATTAGATTTATATCGTATTAAAAACTAAATCCAAATCATTTATTGCTGCGAGAAATCATTTATTGCTATTTTAATTTTCGAGATTATAAAATTGTCAAGAAATTAACCGGACTCCTAAAATACAGAATTCAAATTTCCGGGGGGGGGCAAGAAGTATCTTCAAGTTCATTGTGAACTATCTAATTTTTTTTTTATGCAAATTAAGCCTTTTTGATAATTTTGGTTTTTCTGAGAAATGTTCACACCATATGTGTGCGTAGGGGGTGGGGTTTCAAAATTCTACTTGAAATATTTAGGAAGCAATGTCCAAGAAGGCATAATCCCTCAGGTCAACACAGGGGGACAGTTTTGACACACACAATCTGGAAATAAGTACGTAAGTCAAAGGTGGACACCAAGCATCCAGCGACAAAGAGAAGAAAGATACATCATAGACTGTCCCCCAGCGTTTACCAAGGGGAACCTCAGGGGCAACCTTCGGTATGAAACCATGTAATGTCCCCAAAGTCAACGGGCAAACAGGACAGTATCATTACAGTTCCTGCTGAGCCTGAACCTGCCATCGAATAAACGATGGTTATAGTTACTGCGAATACATTATTTAACCCAGAAATCGAGTTTCTCTAGGTAAATTTTCTAGCCAGTATGCTGGGAGTTGCCCCTCAGTCGAATTCTTGGGGAGGGGCGGGTGGAATATTCGACAAGTGCGAAACCAAATAATGATTAAAAACCTGAAATAGCCGAAATAAGAATCTAGCATTTTTAACTATGTAATTACATTTTAATGGCCAAAAGGTATAAATAATATACGCTGTATCATTTTCAATTACATATGAGCCCATAATAAGCCGACCGGTAAAGCTGCTGACCTCAAGTAATTTGGTCCGGCGTTCAAATTCAGGTGGCTGCATGAGCAATTTAGTGGTTTTCCCCATGTGTAACTTGTATACGAGCCATTTCCCTCACAAAGTCCTCTACGAAGGCATCCTTCTCCTTAGGCAGATAGATAGCTTTCTAGTGTTCTGCCATAATTAAATAACCCGAAGCACATAAACCAATCAGATACATTTAGAAGATAAATAATGCCCATTATATGAACAAAAGTACTATAAAATAGGCAAAAGGCTACTTTTAAATATACAAAACGTGACAAAATTAATTTAAAGGAATCTGGTTGTAAACGGAAAGTGTCAGAAGAGAAGATGATCGAAAAGCGGGTACAGTGAATTTGTAGCCTGCTAGTTCTCAGTATGAAACATATTCATTCAATATTCACATTCTTTTCTCTTGTCCTTGAAAGTGAAAAGTACGCTTAAATAAAAGGCATGCCCTGTAATATTTTAAATCATTTACTTCGTCTTTCACTTCTTCATCCCGATCTGTCTGGACATGTCTCTCTCTCTCTCTGAGAATCCTGACAGACTTGATGTCTGGAATCGTAACATTCTGAACTCGCAAACTAACCTTCAGCAACACCACGTGACCTCGCAACTGAAGCGTGGAAATATAAAATAAATAAATAATGGGAAGGTGCGAAAAAAAATCTCATAATCAGAAAGAGGCGGATCAACAATTCATGATTAGTACTGTAACCTTTCACAGCTAAAATGAATAGTTTATAACAAAAAAGAAAAAAAAAGAGGGGGGGAGGAAGAAAAAATATGAGTTGGCGTGAGGTGAGTATTTCTTCTGACAGGGTTCAATTGACGCATCAGGCTACCTCTACAGGAGGTCTGCCCATACCCTCCGTAGCTCGTTGCTTTCGCAGGGAAACAGAGTGAAAGGCTTGTTATCGACTATCTATATGCCGACCCAGAATTCTTCATATATTAACACTGGTGACTATCGCCCCGAAGTAAAATCGGATTTTCTTCCCATTCTACAATGATAAGAAATAAGAAAAGTCGATTTAATAATGACTAGTTTTGTTTACTGCCTGTTTTTATTTGCATAGAGAGAGCTTTTTTTTTTTTTTTTTTTTTCAGAATTTATGCAAGTTAAAAAAAGAATTGCCTTTCTTTCGAATTTAAAACATAATTTCATTTTCTTTCATTGCTGTGGATTTATTTAGAGTTATTTATTCGATACCAAAAGGCTTTATTGTTTTTAATTTGAAAACGCTGAAGGAAAAGGTATGACACACACACACGCACAAAAAAAAAAAAAAAAAAAAAAAAAAAAAAAAAAAAAAAAAAAAAAAAAAAAAAAAAAAAAAAAAAAAAAAAAAAGTCCGGGTTTTGTTTGCAAGATCTACATTAATTTAGATTTATGAAAAATTACAGGATGATATTCAAATTCTTGCTACTGCATCTACCAAAGCAATATGATTTCTGAGATCATGGTAGTTTGTGGAGAAGGGCACCAAAATGTCTTTAAAATATCTAAATGATAACAGCTCATAGCTTCGAATTCGGTGTTCTAGGAAGCTGACTGTTAAATTGTAAGTCATTGGATGCTATGTGGCATTTTTCCAACTCAAACTCAAACTATTGTATCATCCTGTTCAGAAGATTCTACAAAATTATTTGGGTGGTATTATTTCAAGAAGCACAATAGTAGGTTCTAAAATTCGTAGACATTTGTTATTTCATCTGATACATAATAATAATATTATTTAACCTAAATTAAATCATCAGAGGGTTATTAATAACAAATTAATGTTCTGTAAATAAACATGGAATTATGCTCATTTAAAACTGACCCAACTATTTTTAATAATCCTGCTGCATTAATCAAAGAGTTGATTTAAAGAAAAGCTATTTATAGCTTTTAACTTGAGTATAATTTCTCAAAATTTATAAATACTGTAGAGACATTAGGTATTTTTGGAAAAGCTGGAGAGATGAAAAATTAACAACGCCTTCCTTCGCCGGGAATCGAACCACGGACCTCTGGATACCGGCCCACTGTGCATGACCACTACACCACGAAGGCACGTTAGGAAAGCGGGAGAAATACCTTATAATACTAATATAAATTTATAAATACTAAACAATTCTGAATCAAAACTTAGTTGGTTTGAAAACTAATTCATAACTTGTAACCCTAATATAAAGTTTCAGATTTCGAAACAATTTCTTTTTCATTATGAAAGTAAAATATCTTTTGCCCTTTTCTAGCATAGGGCTAATCTATGCTCGAGTCCAAAATCTAAACGAATATAGAGATGATACAACTACATCAAATTTATGGATGCGCCAAAAGTAATTATAAAATTTCAGTAAAAATAATAATAGAAACTATATAAGCACGTTGAAAGCTTCTATATTCACGTGCTCATAACGACTTCTACAGCTGCAAACAAAATCAAAATATTTTTTAAAAATCCTTTTATTGTCTTGCAGTTGTCACTCATTATAATTTAGTTCTTGTTGTTATAATAATTTAAATTTTTTTAAAACTCACCGTGCAGGAAAAAGGGCAATAAATATTTTTCTACATCTGTAGAAATTGCTTACGTGCATTCAAACTTTGGAATGAGTCCATCAACTGATGTTTGCATGAGTGTAGGACAGCATATAAATAAAATATTTATCTGTTATTATTTGTTAGGCACGGATTAAATTTTCTAGCTAATGTCCTTGAACTCACAGATATCAACCAAACGCTGCTTAACTGTAGAAAGCGAGTAAAAGTGAAAATGTTCGTCAAGTGCTCGCACGTGTTTCTTAAAAATAACCAAGAAAATCGAGGCTCATATTTTACGTAATATTCGTTTTGTTCCAGTTTACTCATTTTCTTGGATTCCCAATATTGTGATTCGTAAAGTATGCTGGTGAAGGCTGGAAATCCTCAGTTTGAGTCCACCTGTCGACAATGTGGTTCCTTAACCAGCATTTTTAATTCTTTCAAACCTGCTTCATCTTCAGAGAAAATTCCCTAGTCGAGGACCTACAGAATCGGGAGATCTGTGGATTTAGGCAGACCATCAGCTATATCTTTAAAATTAGCCTTGGTCTCATTTGGCTTACTTAAGGGCCATTATAAAGATGTAAGCCGCAAAAGCACCTTTAGAGACGTCTGGTTCATGGAAGAAGGAGTACAGCTTCTGTTCGTCAAGAGACGTGGAGCACCAAAAGGTAGAAGCCCGACTTCGCCTACTAGTTTTAGCTGGGCTAAGAGGAATGACTTTCACACCTACGATGGCCCTACCAGGACAAACTCCCGAGGTATTTTACCATTTCCGCCCATTGTCACCCCCTTGCCGCGTCGAGGCAACTAATAGAACTTGAAGGGACCTGAAATGCTTTAAATGTAACTAGGGAAATAAGATATACCTCATCTGTAGGAAATGTAATACTGATCATTTGACTGCCGTACATCTTCTCACCTTCTTGGGACTTGTAAAAGAGGACTTATTGAAAATACGTACCTTGGTATTGTAAATATTGACGGCTCTTGGACTCGCGGATCTGGTCTAACCTAATGGCTAA